GACAGTACGGCTCCCAGAGCATAGTCAGAGCAGTCACATTCAAGAATGAAGGGTGCGTACGGGTCTGCGATTGTAAGAACGGGTGCCGTGGTGAAAGCCGTTTTCAAATCCTCAAAGGCAGATTGTCGTTCAGCGGTCCAAGAGAAGGGTGTGTTTTTACGGGTTAGATCGTGCAGAGGTCGTGCTTTCTTCGAGAACTGATTAATGAATCTTCGGTAAAAATTTGAAAATCCAATGAAACGTAATACTTCAGTTGTAGTCTTTGGTGCCGGCCATTCAGTCACCGCTTTGACCTTTGCAGGGTCCATTTTGATTCTATTCTTTGAAATCACTAATCCTAAATAGTTCACTTCCGGTTTTGAAAATTCACACTTCTCAGGTTTCAGCCATAGAGAGTGTTTGTCTAAAATTTCAAGTATACTTTCAACAGCCTCTTCGTGATCAGCACCTTTCTTTGTATATATCATGATGTCATCCAGGAATGCAGCCGTGTCCTTGCCAATTCTTCCCAAGAGTATGTCTTGTATAAAGTATTGAAAGCATCCCGGGGCGCCTGTGGGTCCGAATGGCATCGTCAATGGTGCAAATTGACCTGCTCGACAAATAAATGCAAGTATGTCCTCGTGTCCTTCAGCTGTGCGGATGTTACCGTAAGCGTTCCGCAGGTCCAATTTTGTATATTCTTCAGCGTCAAGTAAACTGTCCACCAAATCCATAGTCAAGGGTAGGGGGTACTTATTCTTAACTGTGAGTGCGTTTAACTTGCGGTAGTCAAAACACGGCCTTAAATTGCCGTCCTTCTTCCCTGTGAACAAGACGGGGGCCGCCCATGGCGATGTAGTTCGTCGAATTGTTCCACTGGCCAGTCCCTCATTCACCATCTTGTCTAGCGCTTCATTCTCTGCCGGTGATAGAGGAATGATTCTGCTTGCCTGGGGCGTCGCACCGGGTACCAAGTCCACGCGAAAATCGTATTTACGTCGGGGAGGTAGTGTTTGGGCTTTTGATTTGCTGAACATGTGCAGGTACTTGTGGTATTGGGTAGGAACTAAGTGTTCTACTGGTTTCTTGACCGTGCCTTCGTTTTCTCGTGCTGCAATCTTTGCTGCTGTTGACCACAACGTCTTGGCGGCGCATACGTCCATTGTAGTAGAGCTCTGTAGGGAAAATGCTTGATTGCCAGCTGTTTCAACATTGTTTGGGGAATGAAGGCTGTCGAACTCACATTGCGGGGGTATTAGTGTATCATTGCTAGCATCAGCTTTGATACATACCCACTCTTCACGTAACCTAGCGTCCCTCAGGTCCTCCAACTTGTGGGTAGATGAGGGTGTTTTCGGTCCGGAAGAAGCTGAATCAGCTGCTATTGTCGTCGTCGTTGTCGTGCCTTCCAATGCATCCATGTCTGTCTCCTGTTCTAGGATGCAAAGAAGCTCGCCAGCTGATTTTGAGAACAAAGGTGGTAGAGAAATATCATACGCACATTGCGGGGGTATTAATGTATCGTTGCTAGCATCAGCTTGGACACATACCCCCTCGTCACTTTTCCTAGTGTCCCCTGTGGGCTCCAAGGGTGATGTCGGATTGGACGAAACCGCGGCTACGGTTGCAAGTGCAATTGGTCCGGTATCCGATGTGAGAGTGCCTTCTTTCCAATTTATCTTGTGTCCGTGAAGTCTGAACCAAGGCATGCCTAACAAGGCGTCGTAAGAGTCTTTGAGATTGGTGACGATGAATTGAGTCGAGTCTTCATTGTTGTCAAGGTACAGGTTGATCTCTTCTGTGAGGGGTTTTGATTGGCCGTCAAAAGCGCTTACCGTCCTTGGTGTGCTCATTTGCACCGTGGTAAGGTCGTGTTTCTTGATGAACTTAGTGCTGATTGCCTCGTGTGTCGCTCCACAATCTAGGAGGCACATGGCGTGGGGTCTTGATGTGGCATGGGAAGTGGAACGGGATTGGGACACAGGTAATGAAATGAAAAAACGTGGATCAAATGCATTTCTTTTCAAACATGTTACTGCGCCAATTCCTATAATTCCTTCCTCCTTAGTGCTCGGGAGAGGCACATCCTTCACTCCCGAGCTTCGCCATTTTTTGACTCTTCAAAACGATTTTTTCCTCTACTATCTAATTCTGCTATC